CTAGGTTGATAGTGATTGGTTGGGAGGACCCGGAGTTGGACAGTGTGGTTAATGATGCTCCCACCCTCACAAAAGATGGTCGAATGGTGGTCCTTCAGGGTGTGGCAAGCCACAACTGGCCGTTGATTTCGTTTGATGTTTCAACCGCCTTTTTACATGGAAAGGGGGATGGACGTCCCTTGGGACTCGTCCCTGTTCCAGAAATGCGTGACGCCCTGGGAATGAGTGACACAGACCAAGTGCAACTCGATGGAGGCGCCTACGGCCGCATCGATGCACCATTTTTATGGTTCTGTGAGTTTCGAGACGAGCTCCTAGCACAAGGATGTCGACAGTCACCGCTGGATCCTTGTGTGTTCACCTACCACTCCCAAGATGGCTTCGAGGGCTGTCTTGGCATCCATGTGGATGATGGGATAGGTGGTGGTAGCGAGAAGTTTATGAAGATGTTGACAAGAGTGGAGGCTCGTTCAAATTTGGAGCTTTTGACAAAGGTGAATTCACCTACACCGGAATCAGATTTCGACAACGGGATGACTTCTCCATTGAGTACGACCAGATTGAATACATTGAAAAGATAAAACCCATTGTACTCGGAAGGGGTAGGAAAGACGACCTGGAGGCATTGGTGACTGAGGATGAACGAACGTCCTATCGTAGTCTGATCAGTGCGCTCCAATATGCAGCAGTTCACAGCCGACCGGATCTTGCAGCGAAGATAGGTGAATTGCAGAGTGAGGTCACCAGGGCAAAAGTGAAGCATCTTGTTTTGGGCAACAAAGTGTTAGCTGAAGCAAAGCAGAATCGGGTTTCGTTGATGGTTTTACCCATTGCCCCAACTCATGTGACCTATTGTGCATTCTCTGATGCCTCATTCTTCTGTACCAAACACACCACCGCACAACAAAGGACCATTATTTTTGCCACGACTCCAGAGTTGTTAGATAACCAGAAGGCAGTGGTGGCTCCGGTGGCTTGGTACAGCAAGAAGATTCCAAGGGTAGTGCGTAGCACATTAGGTGCTGAAGCCGCCGCTTTGAGCAACTCAGCCGATCGCTTGATGTGGATTCGTGTGTTCTGGAAGACTTTGATTGAACCCGAATGTGATTGGAGGAACCCTGAGAAATTGCTTTCTGAAGGAAATTTGGGGGGATTGGTGACGGATTGCAAGTCCGCATATGACTTGTTGACACGGACCGCCGTACCACAATGCTCTGAACATCGGACCACGATCGAGTGTTTGCTGATAAGAGAACGATTGCGAAACAACGCAGTAGTTCGATGGATAAATTCCCAGGCAATGCTCGCAGATTGTCTCACAAAGACAATGGACAGCTGTGTTTTACGTGAGTGTTTACGAACTGGCAGGTATACTCTTCGTGATGAGGAATTTTTGCTGAAAGAAAGACTGTCTGCTCGAGAAAGGCTGAAGTGGATGAAACAACACCGACAAGAAAAAGACAACAAAGGCTTCGAAGATGCCATGTTGGTGAAACAGTCCGGCACTGTACAGCATGATTGCGATTTTTGGAGAAGGGGACCCGAAGGAGAGGTGATCCGTGTGCATGTTGTTCCAAGATATCAGCTCTATACACCCGTGGGGTCAGAAGACTGTCCTGTAGATCTTAGGGGACTTGAGATGTACCGGGATACTTTGCTGAAAGGGGGAGGTGTTGAAAGGGATTATTGGACAGGAACGACGGCACACAAACGGAAACCCTTTCCTTGGTGTGGTGAGACAGTTTTTCGAATAAAAGAAAATTTTGACGAGTGTAAAACTCGCTAGTTTGGATGCTGTCTCACATGCCCCGCTCGACGGTTCGAACGTCCAAAGGGCGGGAGGGAGGCTAGTCACATAGAAGAAAAGGCGAGGCGGCCTTCGGTTAGTAGGAACAGGGTTTCCTTAGATCCTAGGGTAGAGATCAACAATATATAATCACCACTATACATACATATATACTATATATATACTCACACTTATATACGTATATTATTGGATGGTCGGCCAGTGTGGTGCAAGTGGTGGACCCATGACGAGTTTCATGTGCAAGCCTTCTCCAGATCCGGCCAACACTAAACTCCTCACTTTATATACTGTTTGCTTTCTTTCGATGTTGGTCAATGTTGGTCAAGGGTTTTTGGTGGTTAGGAGCCAGACCTGCGTTGACCTGGGTAGAAGAGCCAGACGCGATGTCATTTTGGCACTAAGGATAAATGGTTGGGTGGAGCACAGTTGTGCCAAGCATATGCCAACACTGGCGAAGCATTTGGAGAACGTGGAAATCATCAGCGCAAGGGCGAAGTATGAGGAGCGTTTCCCAGATGATCCAACGCAGTGGAAGGCAGCACATCTGCTGGAAAGACCATCCAGCACCCCAGTAGAGCGTGACAAGTGTAGACCATTACCAGGTGAAATCTAGGGCGTTTGGCCAAGTTGCTTCTTCAAAGGCCTGATAAACTACTTGTTCCAGAGGAGCGTCCAATTTGAGATGGTTTGCTTTCTCAGTCACTTGGTGTCACATGTCAAAACTTACACCCACAAAAAAAGGACACAGAAAAAAGTAAAATGGTCTGTTGTCCACCTACACTCCCTGGAACTAACATGGAAGTGGAAAACTGTCCCTGGAAGACTATTGTCCCCTGCAAACAGGGGGTTTTCACTCCACTTCCATGTTGGTTCCAGTCGGAGAGTAACTCTGTTATCCGCCTAACTGCAGGTGGAAGCCTTTTGCGAGGTGAAGGAGAACAGTCAAACCATCGCCAACCTCGTGGCGTTGGGCGATTCCACCGCGGAGATGGCTGCGCTCCATGCGATGGCCAAACTCTATCACATTTCCTACACAAAGACCATCAAGTTCAAGGCCGCCAATCTCGGGTTACCGGCTTGGGGTCTAGGGCAGTAGTTGAGTTTGTACAATATGTTTTTGCAACTTGCGGTGGCTTTTTGGGATGGCAAGAATGGTTGAGCTACTCGCAAAGCCCCAATCCATGCTGAGCCAACGATGTTGGTCATCAAGATTGATGCATCTCTCTCCCTCTCTCTCTCTCTATATATATATATATCTACACACACATATTATGCCTACATGAAACATGTAAGATAGATCGGGAGGAGAAATCAGCACAACAGGCTCAACATGTGTGCTGTCCAGCTGACCAAGACCTTTCTGCGAGCCTCTAGTGGTGTTGACATCTACATTTGGGAGCCTTTGTTTGTTGGATGTGTTTTTCCGCATCAAAAAGGCCAGGTGGCGTGGTGCCATGCGGATCATACAGGGGTTAGATTCGGTTGTATAGATGGGTTCGAGACGGCTGAGGCGCGGCCTCGTTGTGTGGAACTGCAGCAAGAGCTTTGCTTGGTTGAAAAGAAACTGGCAACGATTGTATCTGCAGTGAGGAACTATGACATTCGATTGCAACAGAAACATTGACTATCATTGACTCAGTCAGTCATCGGCTGACCTTTGTGTCAGAGGTGTAGCTTGTACAGAGGGAATGAGTCATGTACAGATACTGTGGGGATCTTCCCACTGAAAGAATGGGGTAGTTGCCCCTGTCAGCGTGATCGCGGAGCACACATCTCTTTGCGCGCTGAGAGAGGCAAGTCAGCTGTAGGTGGGATAGCCTGCAAAAACTCACGGCTTGTTGCCTCGTCAAGCGATCCGGGTGGTTTCTTTTTCCAACGAATCCGTCTCACCACTAGATCAGCCCGGAGTGTAGAATTCTGTGCGAAGGGAGGCGCAAAAGTGTGACATTCCCGTGTCCGCAGGGATGCGCATCGATTGGGGCCACACTGTTATTTTGAACAGAACTGTACATGAGGGATTGTCCAGATTGCTGGGGCGATCCGTATTGTTGATTGGGGAATATTGGGGATATGAGGACGTCACGAACTCTCAGAGGGGACCTTCGGGGACGTTCCTTCTGAATGAAGAGGCACTCCGTGATTGTTTGGTTTGCACAGCTTCCTCTTTGGCCACAATGTCATTTGTTTTAACTCAGTCCATTTGAAGGGGATGCACCTCTGATTGCTTGAGGGCTCAAGATCTCTGTCTACAAAAAGAGTATACAACACACTACAGGCCCCATTTTCTCAGTGCTTTCCTCATTTTTGGTGTATTTTGCAACTTTGAACATTAAAATATAAAGGGGGGGCTGCGGTGTCCGCGTTGGTGCCGACGTACTCTCATGGACTTGCCAGGCTTGGGAATAGCTTTACCGCCTGAGGAAGACCGGCGAACACGTCCGCCAGGGGAAAAAAACCTGTCGCAGCGCGTTCGGAGTTTGGAGTCGCTGATCCGGGGGCTTCTCATGGCGACGAATGCTGAGTGCTGAACGCGACGAGTCGCTTGGGACAACGTCGGGGTTCGGACAGAAGACGATGCTATAGTTGGATTATGATTCTATATGTTTAAGCTTCATGCGGCGGGATGAGACCATCACCATCGAAGCGAAGAACACGAAGTCCTTGTTTGCCATTGATACTTGCATGGGTCCCAGTTAGACATTTAGTCCTTGATTTGGATGGGATATGAGTCTGAGATGAGCCACGGCTCCCATGTGCTGTATGTACTCCCCGTCTCGCTATTTTTTCGAAGCGTGCGAGCTGGTGAGCTGACAAGTCGACACCGTCGACACCTGCGCCAGTTCCACAGACAGGGAAACCAACCTTTTTTCAGTGCATGGAAGTGATTCTTCACACTCTTCAATTTGGAGACGAACCGAAAAAACCCAACATATGAAACATATGTCAAAATCGATCCTTTTGCCATGTTTTGACCAGCCAGTCATGGGACTTGCCATGGCCATGGCCCCTTAATGTCTGTTGATTTCAGAACCCCCGCTATCTGAAGAGGCTACAAACAATCCAATTGGAGGCTACCTCCATTCATCCACCGTCTACCTCCATCTCTTTCGTTCACGAGAAAAAAGGGCCGATGAACCGCAAAGAACCATGCGCTGCTCCACGGGAGGCTGGACGCGCTCGGACGATCCGCCAGGACGATCCCGACCTGATCATCGGCGCCCGCAAGGGGTCGCCCCTGATCCTGGGGGAGCCTTGGTCGCACGTTTTGGGTCTTCGAACTCCTGGACTGACGGACCAAACACGAGACGAGACGCCAAAGAACGTGGTTTCGTTCGTGTGCTTTTTTTCCCTGCAAGGAGGACGTCTAGGAATGAAAGGGGCATTATCATAATTACATTCTATTAGAAAGACGTTCCAAGTAGATTCATGAAATACCCCAGCGATGTTTTTTGGAATGTTGATGTTTTTGCTTGCCAGCATGTACTAGCAATCTGCACAGCTACTCCTTGGCTTTTTGAAGGGGCCGAATCAATGCGTTTCGGAACTTGGTGTTTTCCTTGTGAGGTTCTTGGACCCTGGCGAAACTCGACTGGGGCAAGGTGTCCCTCCCATGGACCCATTGGCCAAACAGCGCCAGGTCAACCCACCCAAGTGGTCGGGCAAAAAGGTATCAGACCTGGAGTCTTGTTTTCTTCCACACCCAGAAATGGACCGATTTTAAGCATGAAATCATTGGCTTTGTTAGACCCGCTTTGGTGAGTCCGGCCTGGCTCCGGCCTGGGCCTAGAAAGCCCTAGACAGGCTTTCTATGACGTTGCCAAAGCGTGAAGACATTTATATATATATAATATATATATATATGTATACTTACTAAGAGCATTGCTAACCCAATATTATATAATATAGAGTTGATATGTTTTGTCTTTAAAAAGAACATATGAAGATGTAACGCCATTCTGGTGGGAGGGTGACCATTCATCAACAGTCTACATGATACGGTCGCCTCAAACACACCTCCCATTGGAGATCGGCCGCGTCCAGGTTGGACACGGCGAGCACATGCTTGCCAGTGATGCATCTGCCATCGTAGAACACACCAAGGACGTGCCCCATTTTCATAGAGGATGACCGTAGGGACGGAGCCATTTGACAAGAAGCTACTAGGTGGAGGCCGTCGCTATTAGGTTGGAGACCATCGCTCCTAGGAGCAAGGACGCTACTGGTAGCTCCTGGAGCTGCCATATATAGAATCATCCAACCCTTCGCAATGTCCACCATGCCAGGCGGTTCCAGCTCTGCTTGGCTGGATCGTTGATCGCAGCTCAGTCTTTGCCTCGATGAAGGAAACATGTTGGTGTATTGTCAACCCCAGTTGTCGAACGTCCAATCCAACAGGGTAACCTGAGCCTAGTGACAAACGACTTAGACTTCTGACGAAGCTGCCTTTATGTACTTGATTATCTTGATTCCAAGCGTAAAACATTGTTTTTACATAATTATATAGGTATATATAATATGCCAATGTGTGCCACTTGCAGGGCCACGATCCGGGAAATAGGATAATGAGGGGCCCTTCATCTCAACTGTCCTTGTAAAGCACCACCTGAAGCCTAGCAGCAGCTTTTCCCTCAAGAGTTGCTGTTGGCAAGGGGTACAGGGTACTCGCTTCCAAGACCCAGACCTTTCATATATGGAATCATGTGAATCTTGAATTTACTGTACATTTTTTTTGTTTTTAACGTTCTGGGATGGTAACTATGCCAAGCTCTCTAGGCTTCCTGGCTCTCCGCCTTTCTTCGCCGAACATGTGACCTCCGGTCACGTCCCGCGGAAAAACCCATGCGATACCGCAGGACGTGGTCTACCTACGTGAAGGAGAGATCGTTGAAGTCCGGCGGTCTGGGTTCAAGGCGCAACATGTGTGAAATCTTCTGAAAGGCTTGGTGAAGGGCGTTTCGGCCCCCTTAGCTGGAACAGGAGCTTCTGCGGGACAGATTCCATGTGTAGTGGCGGCTGTAGTGGCTGGTCATCCACACGATGGGCCGCTGGGCCTCCAGATGATTCAACCAGGTCCCTTGACTCTTGACCTGGTGAAGCCTGGTGGGTGATAGGACATGGCCCGGGGAGAGGGACATCAGTCGATTCGACTCGTGGACGCTCCGAGTCGCTCCGAGTCTGGGAACCCCAATCGATGTTCCACGAGGTGATCGTGGCATGCGAGACGCCGAGACGCTGGAAGAACTCTTGTGACTTTCGGTTCTTCCAGTTTTGGTGGCTTTCGTGCCCTGTTGAGTTCAAGGTCAATGACCGAATCCAACTTCCTGTTTTCAGACATGTAAGTTACAAAGGCAAGATTTGGTGTGAAAATCCCATTGAACACGGATCCGACATGAAACACGGATCGCACTGCGGACGAGTCGACGAGTCGGCAGGTGCATGACCTGGAGAAGGTCGTGAGGAAGTTGGGGAAGAACACCATAAGCCCACGACCAGATGATGTGGCCTGCAATCAGATAGAGGAGTGGAGAGGAGATGAGAGGGGTGCAGTGGGATCAGAGCGAAGTGGGCATTGGTTGTTTAGGAGCGATCGGTTGAACAAATGTATACAGTGCAGTACCATACAGTCCCGAGAAGCCTTTAAGGGAATCCTTTTTTTGACAAGAGCCTCTTTAGATGTACTGCATAAGACTGTATATATAAAATATAATATAGTTTTAATGTGTGTTCTACATATCTCATGAACAGGACGTCCTTTTCTTCGGGGGACCACTCCAGCGACCCCTTCCGTGAAGCCGGCCGGGCCGTCGGTGAGGTGGAAAACCCCATCGTGAGGCTGGAGCTGTCGCATGGAACTGAGATCTGGTGAGAGGAAGAGGGAACAGCATGTCGCCAGCATCATGCCAACATGATCTTCACACTCAGCACTCAAGACTTGGTCCTTTTTGAGGAGCTGCATCAGCTTCTGAAAGAAAGAAGCATTTGATTCGAGTGGATTTGGTAGTCGACCCATTCCAAAACAATCCACCGGTTTGCATTGACAGACCCGTCAGAGGTCCGGGTCGGTTGAGTAGGTCCTGGCCGTGGAGTCAATCAAAGGCTCGAGCAAATTGAGAAGGGTGGCTACAAGCACTTCATGCTGAAAGAGATCATGGTGCCTCTCCACGAGTGTTGTTGGACTCACAACGATGCCTGGAGTTCTGTCACGAGCTTTTGTTGCGCGAAAGCAAACAGATCTTTTTTCTTTTTGGTCGATGTGTGCTTTTTTGGGCAACTCCGATCTGTGTGGACATGTCAACAACTGTTGCTGGCCGAAATCCCACAACACCCCAGTTAGGCCACGTTCATCAGAGCTTTTTCCTCAACTAACTGTGGGCTTGGATCGCCAGGACCAGCCCAACGCCATGCGGAACTGCCTCCGTGGCCGGATCTACCAACCAGCGGAGATCCGGGGGGTGAGGATGGGGGTGTTGTCGAGATGTTCGATGCCTTTGCCTCCCCTGGAAATGCGAAAGCACCAGCCGGAGCATAACACTCCCAGAAGGGCCCCTAGGCACGAAGGTGCTTAAACTCCAACCCCCTCCAGGTGCAACTCCAAACTCGTGTGCATTTCGTCGCTAAACTCCTGGTCCCCAACCAGCAACTCTCAGTATTTTGGGGGCGCATTTCGTGTCTCGGGTGGCTGCGAGGAAGCACCCGACCGCTGGGAGATCAAGCTTGGAGGCTTGGAGAAGGCGCGGTAGAGCCCATGTGACGGCGAATGTTAGGAAACACGCAATGTAGACCTCACAAACTCACCTGATCAGCCTGGTCATGTCATACGTTAAAGGAGATTGGGGTTTTATTGACTCGTTTGAAATGAGAATCTCAGCAGGGTTTCCTAATAGAACAACTTGCCTCAATCGGTTCGATGCTTCTGAGCGACAGGCCAAAGAGGGCGCCCTCAATCCTCAGAGCCCACTGGCCGCTGGCCGCAGACCAGCGGGGGTGGAAAAACGTTGAAATTTGGCGTTGGAGCTCTGAGGGTATGATTCTGTGTGGGCAGAAACTGGAAATTCAGGCTGGAGCCCGTTTTTTTGGTCCTGTATAGCTGCTATGTTTGGGTTCATGGTATGCCTTTCTGGCCATACAGCGAGAACAATATGATTTCCAAGACATTTGGGCAAGAGTAGGAGGAATGGAACACCCAGGCGGGAAGGACAGAGCCGCTAAACATCGCGAAGCATGATATGACCAACCTGTTATTTGTTTGTATTTTTTCGTTGATTGATGCATGCTTATATCCAGTGAATTACCCATTCCGGCCATTCCAACTATAGGAAGCCAGTGCTCCAGCTTTGGAGCAATGAGCATTTTGCAGCTTTGTTTGTTGACATGTCAGGCTGCTGCCAACAAACGTGTGCCTTGTGGGTGCAGGGATAGGGGAGGTAGTGACCCAAGCAAGACTAGGCACATATGCATATATGATGAATTAATAGATGCTTTGAGTACCCACGATGATCAAGAGCATACATTGATCAACATCCTTCCATTACTCAGAGGGCACTTGAGGACTTGGATCACTTTTTTTTGACCTTTCAGTGAAGAGCTCAGGCAGCCACACAGCAATCCTGCAACTATATAGTGGGGCCAGTTTACTGTGTCCACCGTGTGTTCTTTACTTCTACTTCCACGACTATATCAGTCTTTTTTTGGCTATATCCCCTGCAAATACCGCCTCAATTCAGTTGAACAGCACACTGGACTCAGGAGAGGATGGCAAATGCCTGCAGATTTATTTTCGCGGCGTGTGGTACCTCCTGGCATTCGGGCCTCATTGGCAAGTATGCGATGGCCTGAGTCATCTCTCTTGAACAGACTGGTTGAGGAAAGACACTGGAAAACCACGCTTTCTGAGGAGAACTGGAGAACCTCTATATTCGGACATGGAGAACCTCTATATCTGTTACAGTATATGTGTTTGTTCTCTTGAGTGCAGAATTTCTTCCATCACGAAAAGCAAGTGAGGTAACAGTTCTGGCCTCCAAGTGTCTACTGCGCTCTTCATGTGTTTTGTATACTGTAGTTGCCAGAGAACACCTGTGTAAGCCAGAAGGCATTCTACCACCTGTGTAGTCCGTGGCCACATCCACACTTGGAGGTGCTCACGAACTCTGCGAGCGACTTCATGTGTTCCAACGAAACCTTGAGAGATTGGAAAATCTGACCGGCTTCGCTTCGTCGTAGCGGTTTTGACAGTGCAATTTGAGAATGCACGATTCGAAGGATTTGGGAAAAAAACAATAGTTGGGCACCTGCATGGGCAATCGGCTTCTTGAGCCTTCTCGGAATTTCATGCTCAATCCAGGACCCCTGGGTCTCCCCCTTGTTCGACTGGACGGGAGCCGTCGGGAAGAGGGATTTTCCAGCCGCTAGCAGCGGCGTGTGAGGCTTTCGAGAAACTTGCTGGAGTGAGAGCAGAAGTGGAGTATGTCCGGTCCTTAGCAAGTCTCTGGAGTATGTCTGCGGACATATTCAAAAGCGGACATTTGTTTCCTCTCCCCTGCATCTCTGTTTGATCTGTTTTGTGTCTCTACGCCTCTTCACCCAGTAATAGCAGGAGAATCCCTTTGGCTGATCAAATGGACTAGCTATATATATATAATTATATATATATGCACTACACCAATTGTACTGTTTCATGTTTTTCATACTCTTTAAATCGTTTTCCCTCACACCGGACGTCTCACCGGTGCGGAACCGATCCGATCGTGTGGGAGATTTTTCGTGTCCGTTTTGGACGTTCGCCTCGCTGTTGCGTTCTGCTCGTATGCCAACAGGAGCCGGACATCAAGCTGCCTCCTTGTTTTTCCGTCGAAGAAATGACACGTCAAAGCCGCCGGTGTTGGTCCATAGATGTGGGAAGACCCTGATCCCTCGCGCTCCAAACGCTCTGAATCTCCCACCTCTCCAACTTGAGAGGTTGATGCAACACTCCTCACGAAAGGTAAACACAGTCGTAAAGGATCCACCAAAGACTTCACGAACTTCTCATGTCTTGCGCAAGCTTTGAGAGCTTGCGAAGTCAGTGCTCAGCTTGCGAACGTGTTGATTCTGCGCCGAATCCTGCGCGCGCGGCGTGAAAGTCCCAACGCCAAACTTGCGAAAGGAACTTGCAAAAGAACGAGCCCAGAAAAGGAAACCTTTCGCATCGCCTTCGGACCGTGAGGCCAGCGAGTTCAGATATCGCAAGCCCTTGATCTGCCCGGAGCCGCAGCCCAAAACTGACCCCAAACGCTCCGGAGGTACGGCGGTTGATAGCCCCCGATACGGCGGGCGAAGGGTGGAAGATTGGCATGGTCACACCGCAGGGTCGCAGGGTCCGGATGTTGCAATGGGACCGCTCTGCTTTTGACGTCATGGGTGGCCGCATCTATGTTCAAAGCATCCATGGCCATGGTGACTTTGTTTCTGACCCATGGACCATGCTAAGAGGTTTTGCCGAAGCCGAAAAGGCTTCGGGAGACAGGCCATTCGCTGAAGGGATCGCGGACTTTCCAGATTCCAGGCCGAAACAGAAGCCGTGATTGTTTCACCGAAAACAATCCATTTGTATATAAAGCCGGTAAAGCTGAAACGTAGTTTATTCCTGACTCTTGACATGAGTATCTACAGGGCAGCTGCAGCTCAAACGTATTGTCAATACCAGCAGCGGCACAGCCATATTGCAGGCCAGCACATGAACAACTCCAAACACAGGCACTCGAAGAATCTTAAAGATATACCATGCAGTAAGAACAAACACACGTAAACATCATTGGTTCGGGGTGGGTTTTGGTCCGGCAGACCCAAATGTGTCAGACGTTTATTGTGCGGACAGGTTTGTTTAACATGTATCAGATGGAAAGACTGTATTATATATAGATTTATATATAGTGTATTATTGGTTTTGGATGATTTTGGGGAAGGATGGGTAAGGTGTAGAATGCACTGTGTTCTTTTCTTTTTTGCAAAGTTCTTTGACAGCTGAGACGAACGAGCACTGAATCCCCCATGGGGAGAATGGAGCCATGACCTTCGGAGGCGTCGTGGAGCCCTGCACGACCGACACGACGCCCAGTCGGGCTGCCGGGTGGTTCGGTCCCCACCGCGCGGGGGACTGGCCCAGGTGACTCGGACTGTCTCATTGCAATCTCCCAAAGTGGGGAGACAGCAGATACCTTGGAGGCCTGGAAAAGCGACAGAGAGTTTTCAGTCTTACCATCACCCTTCTGTGCCCGAGTCTCTTGCGTTCGCACCACACCAATCCTTTGGTGACTTTATCCCCAAGCATGAAAGGCGTCCTCAAGGCAGTGCCTGGGCAAGCCCTTTGGCCCGTTGGATTGGAATCAAGCAGCTAGGGGTCTCTTTTGGACCACTCTTTTGACCACATGTTCTTAGCTCTCACAGACGTGGCATCAAACCATGTCTGAGTTGCAGTTCTGTCTGGTGACTTGCTCGACATCTTCCGAGCTGAGCTGTTCTTTCAGGGTCGTTTCTTTCACGTTTTTGGGCATCAAACCACCCTGCCTTCATGGTCGAACAGCAACGAATCACCATGCCAGGCCATTAAGATGGCCAAGGAGCATAAAGCGGCGGCGCCTAGCATCGCGAGCGTCGGCGTCTGACCGGATGTGGAGCGTTTGGTCCAGCCATGTTCCACCCCGGAAGCAGCCACAGAATCCGCAATCCAATACATGCAACCACATGCAAATCATGTGAAGCTTGGAAAAGTCCGTTTTTGACTTCCTAATGGGTGTGACGAGGAAGAGATCTAATGGGTCTTTTTGGGCGAAGTAGACTGTGACGGTGCAGGCGGTCGGAACTGGCTGAGCGTGAGAACATGTGGAAGACGGCGTATGTGGCTTTTTCAGGTTCATCGTTTGACCCGAAAGCGGAACTGCCACAGGCCTTGACCATTGGTGTGGTGAACGTGGTGGGTTCGAGCATTGCTCGTGAGTGCTGCTCTCGGAGTTCCACTGAAGGCGCAAAAAATCGAATCTGCGGACCGATGGGAAGCTGAGGACCGATTGCGGCATGTACCTACATGCTGGGCCGGAGATCGGAGTGGCTTCCACCAAGGCTTTCACCTGCCAGGTGGACCGGGGCGATATGGATGTGCCCGTCACACATGTGTGCAGAGTCACTCTTGGTGAAATTTTGGTGGCGATCCTGCTGATTCAGATGGTTTTTGCAGATGTACTGTGAAAGAGGAGAGAATGGAGTTGACCCGCAGGTCATAGCACTTCTCTTAATGGCACTTCGTTTGGGCAAGCAGCGTGGTGCACTCTCGGAAGAGATGCTTGGGCCTTGAAGGATCCGTCCAAATTGCCGCTGTTGTCTTGCCGTGCTTGTCGTGGTTGTGGTGATTGAGTCACTGAGGCTGAACATGTACTGTGCGGCCCTGAACGCCGTGCCGGACAGTATAGAGAAGTGGCCGGCGGCTCAGCATAGCTCAGCGTTCTTTCTTCAGATTCAGTTACACTCCCTGGAATCATCATTCAAGTGGAACATGGCCCCTTGGATAACCATTTTCCTCCACAAACAGGTACTTGTAGTTTTCCACTTCCATAATGATTCCAGGGAGTGTAAAGGCTACCGATTGGATCTCTTTGTTCAGTGACCCGAGAGCATTACGACCACTGGATGCGACGCCAGGATGTCTTCCTTGACCGAACAGACCCAGGTGATTTCGAAGCCGGAGCCTCAAGCTGGGAGCCGTTGGTCTGGACGAACAGGGTACAAACTTGCATGAACAGATACGAACAGTACCCCTTCATTCATTTTGGCTGGGTTGAGGCATGCACAGCCAGTTTGCAGGTCTTCTGAACGCGAAACAGCACCTTCCACTAGAGGTGAACTCCCAAGTTCTGTTGACCCGCCCAAAAAGAAAAGACATTGTTCTTCATGTGAGATATTACTGTAACATGTTAACATATATGTTAACAATAACAATATATATATATAAACTATAGGGTGAGTTGACCCCCAAGGTGCAGGCTGGAATTCCTGCACGGGACAGTTGGAACGTATTAGGACGCTCATGGACCTTGGCAAAGGAAAGAAGTCACTGTCAGTACTGCTGACCTACTTTTCACTGTCAGGAAAGCACTGTACGGTGACTGTCAGTACTGCTTCTGCTGACGTGTAGAAGAACAGTCATTGTCAGTACGACAGGACCCCAAAGGCCGCCGAAGACACGACCCACGACCCCCAGAGGGCCCGCACAAAGAACAGGAACCTCCGCTTGGCCACCAATGCGCTCTTCAGCGGCATGGGGGTCCACTTCCCGGTGGCCTTAGAGGGAGCACTCAAGCTCAAGGCGTGTGATCTGTGTGCATGAGGCCATGTCGACTAGTGGACATAGAGAGCATTGCTGCTGACCCGACCTATTTTGTGTACTACACAGGCTCAGGCTCGCCCTTCTACATTGGGCTGATGGACAGATCTTCAACACACCTGAGTACGGACAAATTGATTCCTTTTGGTTTTGACAGGTCTTTATGATATCGTACTGAATGTCAGACTCTTGTTTGGTCATCAAGATTCATTGTCATGCCGGTCATGGTACTTGGTCCTTCAAGAGGAATGCTCTCGGATTCCAATCAGTTGACTTGATATGCATTGGGTTGCCCAACAAGCATTGATTGTACTAGTACTGGGGTTAGAGACAACCCGAAGAGGGCCAAGACTTGGGAGACTAGTCTTGGCAGACTTGGGAGAAGAGCAGCTGAGCAGCTGGGCTCAATCACAACCTTCGTCATTGACCCAGACGCCCAAGGCTAGCTGTCCATGCTTTGCCATGGACATGGAGACTCAGAACATCTACAGGGTCATCGGGTCCACCTACCCCTCACAACCATCACAATAAAGAAAAAAAACACAATAAATGATATCCTCCATGAATGAAGGCACTATTAAATATACTCGTAGTATTTTATTGAAGAACACATATATTTCTCCTGAAGGCTGCCCCCTGTAAGCCATTTAATCATTTATGATCAGGTATTTTTCTTTCTTACATTTTTTGTATTTGGTGGATTGGACACTAAACTAAAGACCACCTTTGGCGGTTCAGAAATTATGAGAAGAACCTCTACATCCACGCCAGGAGATTTCCTACATCCACGCCGAAGGCTTTCCAGCCTCCGAGATCAGGCGGGGCGGGGCTTCCGAGCCGAACCGCCTAGAGAGAGCTCCTAAGCCGCTTAGTGGAAGCAGTATTGAAATTAAGGTTCTAATTCAGCACTGCCCTACAGTAAACCCGAATATACACAATATATATATATATATCTAAACAATGCGTCCTCTTGAAGATGACTTGGACTCTTGAAGATGTCAATGTGTCAAGGCCTGTTCGGGTCAGATCCTGGATGGCCCAGTGTGGCAGTACTTGGTATGGTCTGAGAGCACCTCCTGCACGGTCTGCGGTCTGGGGCGGTGCTGCGGCTTAAGTGAGATGGTTGGAGTTGCAGTGTGTTTTTTTTCTACCAAAGAAGTGGGAAGGCCGCGAGGATGGCCACGAATTTCTTTCCTGTCCGCGCTGCCAAAATGTTGGTCAAAGCTAAGGGGCAGACAGCACAGCTGACGAAGCTCAATGAACATCATTGGACATACTTCACCCATTGCAAGAACTCCAAATGGGTGACCCTACTTGTGGTGGTCAGGTCAGGGATTTCCTCCAGGTGTCCGATTTGGGGGATCGTCATCCTTGAAAGATTTGGCCCCCCCTGTCCCTAGACGTGTTCTGCAGAGTGACGAGTGACTTATAACATTTTATATAACATCTTATAAAAGCATAAAGGGTCGGATCCAAGATAGATCCTAAACAACAAAGAACGGATGTTTACAAAGATAGAGATACGGTGTGTTCTCAAGCCGCGGATCCTCTTGAGATGAGATCGATTTCTGCATGGAACAAGCATCACGAGGCACGGAGGCATCACGCTGATCCGGAACTTTGTGCCGGTGATTTGTATAGCAATGAGGCATGGGTCTCCGGGGTCTCCGCACATTGGGCGTCTTTGTTGGGATCTTGGGGAGATCCAATTTTATTAAGGGAGGGATGCTTGGAAAGACTTTGGTAGGCAACTCTTTGATTGGTCTTTTGCACCGGAGGCATGTTTGCCTCTTCTGGTCATTGGTCATGATTCATGACGTATGCCAAAGCTGACATTCACACGAAATCGACATGACATAAATGTTTGCTGTCGATATGACCATTTGACGACCAAGCTTGGGACTGCATGGTTTTTCACACCGTTTCAATAACTCTTACAGTTTCATTGCGTGACATCAAAAAAAAGTATCCACAACTATGGCTGATTCAGCACCATATACAACCTTCTATCAGTCTCCGTCCTTTTGTGGGACACGGAATGCTGACCGTGTTTCTTTGACCGTCCGACCGTCAGCACTCCGACCCGGATCTGGTGCCATGTCGGATCCGTGGTGATCCGTCGGGGATCCGTTCAGGTCCGACCCTGCTTACGAGCAAATCAAGCAGATGGTCCGTGACTTCAGGCGCGAGCGGTCTGCGCGAGCGGTGAGTGGGGGTAGTGATGGAGCCGTTGAAAGGAGAAATTCCAGCGGTTGAACGCAGAAATAGGAGTTGCGGAAGAAATTCCAGCGGATGGTTTTCTTGAGGTGCTAGGCTTCCTTTTTGTAAGTTATTGGTAATGTTTGGCGATCCCACCTCCCATGCGCTCCACAGCAGGTGCCATGCAATAAAAAGAACCTGGCGATGAGTCCAGGTGGTTGGCCAGCCGGTCCCTGTGGATGAAAATGCCCAAGTTATTGGCGCCAGTGTTTGCAACGCTTCGGTGGCTTTTCGAAGTTTTGAGCATTTTGAACCCAGCTGAGCTTCGAAATGATCCAAGGTGGCTTTTCATGTAGCTGAATTCTAGTTTCGGATTGAAACGAAGGGACCGGGCGTCTCCGGGCATCGGTGGTGGTTGGTTTGGACGGGCATCTGGTTGGCATCTCCCGCTGATCAGGCACAAGGGTGCAGCTCTCCTGGTCCTCACGGATGATGGTAACACCGACTTTGCCGGTGTTCCTTGGCCAAAACTGTGGAAGCAATGTTCGCTACTAGGAGCAAAGGGCATCGCTACTAGGAGCGATCGGACGCTACTAGGGGCTCCTGGCCTTACTACTAGTAACAAGGATGCTACTAGTAGCAACTAAGTTGATATTTATACAGTGGATTGAGAGTAGATGAGTAGATGACAAAATCCCCCCAAAAGGTGGTTGAATGTGGAAACCATAATTATACATCTTGTGTGCACGGAAAAGGGGCAGAACACTTTCAAGCGGTGCCTCCGGAAAACACAAACACACACACACACAAATCAACTCATCCATAGCAATCCATGCAATCCCAGGGAAGGGTGTTTGGATCTGCCACCCAGCCAAATAGCGCTACCATGTATCAAACAAGCTTTGGAGCCTTTTGGAACTATGAACTGAAGCTGGTCATGAATGAGCTGGCATATGTCCCTGTTGCAGTAGATAAGAGATTCTTTCCACTGTTGCTCTCCCCTTTCCCAACAAAGATAGGAACCGCATGCGTTCAGCTCGCTCTTGTGTGGCCTGTGGCTTCTGCAGACCTCCCCATGGTTCAGGTATCGCCATAGAGATGTGACATGACGTGACCCATTTGAAAGGGTTATGGTTGACACAGTGAGAACTGCAGCTGCATTGGAACATGTATTTCATGACATGTTCTGTTTTCGTCGTTGGGGATTGGGGACCTCGATGCAGATTCCCCGTCTGAGGAAGATTTTTTCCACAATTCCTTAAGCAAAATCCAAGAACTGAACCGATCACCATGCAACATCACAGTCGAGGTGGCACACTTCACCCTGTGCTGTCCGGCCACAAAGCTGGAGATGCAGCCCCTTGGCACGTAAAACAGCGGTGCATGTCGTGTCGCCCACGTGTGAAAAGGTGCCCCTTTACAATCCAGGATGACGAACGGAACGCCATGCGTTTCGCGATGGTTTTCCGGGGAAGACCCCTGGATGCTGCAGGGTGAAAGGGAGCAACCGAGACGGGTGTCGTGTGGAAAGCTCTTCCTCACTTAGGAATGAGCATTGGTAGTTGGTCAAACTTCAGGTTTCACCCCAATTGCCATGGGTCTCTCTTGAATTGCCGTTTGGATAGCAAGGAATGAACGAATACGGTCACAACGGTCCGCACGACCGTCCGCTTCCGCGCCCCTTTGGGGCGCTTCGCAGGCCCTTGATTAGCTGCATACCCTTGCAGCTGCTGTGGGATGCCCAGGGGAAGGGACGAGTCGAGGTCTCAGTTCTCGCTCTGGTTCTTGGTCTATCGGAACAAGTTGAGAACCTGTGGGCAGAAGGTTGGCCCGGGTAGTTTTTGGGGTTGGACAACAAGTACAACAAGCAATGAGCTACTCGGAAACCCATTCAGATCATTCAGCCATATTCAGCCCCCCCGTTTAACCAAACTAAGTAGCAGCCATATTCAGCACATCTTTTTTCCCGAAAGCATTGCGAATGGTTCTTCCGGAAAATCTCTTGAACACTGACACTTCTACACTTACACTCACACACTGACACTTCCACATTTGCACTTGAACACTGACATTTCGACACGTACACTTGAACACTTACGCTTCCACACTGACACTTGAACATGAACATGAAGACTTACACTTCTATACGTATCCCAGTGTAAGCGGAAGAGTGAAAGCATCCAACGGCAAGTATCCAAGTGTAATGCAATGAGTATGCACGTGTGAGTATGGAAAACTTGCACGGGAGATGTCCTAATGAAAAACATTTCCCCACTGTATATAAATTCTCTCTTGAAGGCGGAGGGTGGGACGAACAGCGTCAACCGAAAATGCAACCCTCTGCAGAGATCGTGCGTGTCGTGTGCGCGAAATGCAGGCGAGAGTGCGATTTGGCCCGTTCCCGCCGCAACCCTCTGCGGAGATCGTGCGTGTCGACTGCGCGAAATGCAGGCGAGAGTGCGATCTGCGCGCAACCCTCTGCGGAGATCGTGCGTGCCGAGTGCGCGAAATGCAGGCGAGAGTGGGATTTGTCCTGCCCGCGGGTAGTACAACTTTAGTACGCGGAGTAATCTGTGGAGCTGGAAGCTGAGAACTGGCGACTTTGTAGTACAACTTTAGTACGCAGAGTATCTGGGGAGCTGGAAGATGAGAACTGGCGACTTGGTAGTGGTAGTACAACTTTAGTACGCCGAGTATCTGGGGAGCTGGACCTGGCGACTTCGTAGTACAACTTTAGTACGCGGAGTATCTGGGGAGCTGGAAGATGAGAACCGGCGACTTGGTAGCACAACTTTAGTACGCGGAGTATCTGGGGACGGCCAGATGAGAACTGACGACTCTGTAGTACAACCTTAGCACACTCAGTATCTGGGGGGCTGGAAGACGAGAAGTGGCGACTTTGTAGTACAACTCTAGGACGCGGAGTAGCTGGGGAGCTGGAAGATGAGACCTGGCGACTCTGTAGTACAACTGGAATACGCGGAGTCGCTGAGTATCTGAGGAGCTGGAAGAGGAGAACTGGCGACTTGGTAGTACAACTCTAGTACGTGGAGTACTTGGGGACCTGGAAGATGAGAACTAGTGACTTGGTAGTGCAAGTTTATACGCGGAGATCTGGGGAGCTGGAAGATGAGAACTGGCGACTTGGTAGTACAACTGTCGTGCGCGGAGTATCTGGGGAGCTGTAAGATGAGAACTGGCGACTTTAGAGTATTACAACCTCAGCGCGCGAAGTATCTGGGGAGCTGGCGGAGGAGAACTGGCGACTTTGTAGTACAACTGTAGTACGCGGAGTAGCTGGGGAGCTGGGAACTGGCGACTTAGTAGTAAAACTTTAGATGCGGAGCACCTGGGGAGCTGGAAGATGAGAACTGGGGACGTCTTTAGAGTACACTTCACACTGAACACTTAACACATAACTCACACTCTGACTTCCTACGTGATGAAAAATGCTTTCGGGCCACTCGTCGTCTAGTTTTGTTTTAACCATGTTGAGATAGGTCAAGGAGGATCGCATTTAGTGCCACGAGTTTGTGGCACACACACACAACTTGGTGTTTTCCTGGGGGGCATTGAGATGTGAAGTGGACAGACTCAATTCTGAGGAAGTCATCAAAGTGTCATGAAACATATCGAGATCTATAGTGGTGGTCGACTCCAAGCAGCACGTTTCCAGCTGAAGAGGCCTGAATGGACATAGACTTTTTGGAACAGGGCCCCATGGCCTACAAGGCACTACAAGGCCCTACACCAAGATCAGGACAGGTGTCAGATTTGCCTGCCGCATTCATGTCCACAGATTCTGGGCATCAGGACAGGTTGGAATTGGTTGGCCAAATGTTTTCTCCTGGATCCAGGGGGGCAACAAAATCATCGTTCTTCCTCGACGGACCTCAGGTCCTACCACATTGCGGACATGAGGGGCTGCTCCATAGATCAGCCACGGAATCTGGCGAAGAGTGTGACCGTTGAGTGAGCAGTGGGTCTTCTTCCTCGCAGTTTCGTGAGGTGGTGCTTTTAAGGTCCTAATTCTTTGGCTGCCCTCTGTGATAATTACAACGTTGGGTATTGATAATCACATTTCAGAGGAGTTTCTGAAAAAGAGAACATATGAGATATAGTATATTTCTGGAACATTTTGTAATCTTTATGTAGTCCAATGAACGTCGGTGGTGAAAAGTTGAACGCAACTTGCTATTTGCAGCTGCCGCATCGTGCCAGCCATCCAGCAAAGAAGCCTCGAGAGATGCAGCAGTGAATGCATCATCGGCTTTTTGGTTTGGTGGAACCACAGCTACCACGGTTCTGAGGGAGGTGGTTCAGTTGGTGCAATTTTATTGAACTCTGCCCGCTGAACGCCCCGGTCACCCCCCTGGTCCGCCCGGGTTTGCTTGGGTTCCCCCGGTTGCCCATTGGTCGACCATGGCATGCCACATGTGCTGCCACGACTGCCAGTCGTGCATTCTCAGCGGAGTTCCACACGAATCCAGGAGCAGCTGTCACGAATGGACAACTTGACCCCAAGAACAAAACGTACAGTAAGTGCATCTCACCGCAAACCATCTCGAAGGCAACACTAGAATACCCTGGCCACATCTCACAGCAGACTTTTGGTGCATTGCACATGGTGCATGGCGGCTTGCGCAAAGGTATTAATATATTGGCCCTCCTTGGCAACTGCTGTATTCTTAACATGGAGGTAGAATGAAATCCGCAAACAAGACACATGTTCTCAGGCAAGGATAGAATATAGCCCTTTCCTGAGCACAAAGAATGGTCGGTTCCACTTCATTCGTTCATTCCTGAAAGAGCTACTCAGCAACTCAAAAATTTGCAGACATGAATGCTTCCGCTTGGATTGACTGATCCATAAGCAGTACATGTTCCAAACCGAGAGTCTGCATTCGTGCCGCGCGCCACATTTCGCACCAGGTTTGTTCCTGCCCCCCCGTTTGTTGGCACCTCGTTCATGACCAATTGAAGCGAACGGCTGTGGCCCTGGTGGATGTGAACCAAAGACCGCTTGGCCTCGTTCATGCCAGCGAAAAGAAGTTGGGATGAAAGGTTCTGGGGTGATGGTCTTTGACAGGGCTGGATTTCCATGGATTTCCGCAAGCTGGATTTCTTGGATCTGAGGCTAATTCAGTTTGTTTTGTGTTTGAGAACGTTTCAACTTGTGGAAAGTTACTTTTCCCCATGTAATCACCCCGTCCAACCTCTTGGAGCTGGCAAGCATCTCTTTTAGAAAGGAATTATATGGAATTATATAAATACACATTATTACCACCTCCCAACCACAGTTTTGATGGACGTGCATGGGAAGACGTAAGACACCACATCCTGCGCTGAGCGTCCGAACACACCCTCCTTCGTAGACAATGCTCCAAGTTTAGAGAATGCTCTTCTTTCATCTTCTTTCCAATTTACATAAATCACTACAGGCTGCTGGTACTGGTGGTCAGTAAATGAGGGAGCTTGCGTCCCTGATTAGAGATTCCTCTAGATCCGGCCGCTCTCATTCCTTGCTTTTCCTCACCAGTCAGAACTAGGCAGACTTATTCCTGACTTCTTCCTGCAACGGTTTGGATGTGCGGCTGTCGAACGGTTTGGAACGCGCCATCGACCCGCTCGTGGCGATTTTGCAGGGGTTCTTCCACTCGCACAGCTAGCCCGAATGGCTGCAGAGGAGGATGTCCAGGCGACCGGCTCTATTGAGCCCGAAGGGTTCTCCACCCACCACGAAGGTGACCGATGGTTTAGGGTTTGGCAGGATTCTCTGGATCAACACGTGGAACCCCGTTACGTCATGATTGTTGGTGATGTCCAAAAGGAGTTGTCGTAGTGAAAGAGTCGTGGTGCTCCTGTGCTTTGTCCTGCTTTTTCTCAGGCAGCAGGTTTGGAGTGCGAGCTCCTGGGCCAGCCAGGGGTGCCCAGTTAAAAGGATTTTCGGTCCCGGTCCACCGGCACTAGGAGCGGCCGAGGTGAAGGCTATGCTTTTTTGTAGAATTGAAACCATACTGCTGCAGACTGCATCTACGTACTTGTCGGCTTCGTCGGCTTAGTCATTTCCTTGCATATTCAGAAGAATGAGGGACGCCATGCACGCTCGCAGGCTACCCTCGCAATGAACAATACCCTTTGGAGTATACTTCACCTGCGGAACCTGACTCTCCACCAACAGCAGTCCCCAAACCAGGTCTTCCGTCAAGTTACTGTACATAATCAGAGATGGTGGCCACAGGTCGTACGACCAATTACACTTGTCTTCAGGCCACCTATCAAGCTACAGTGGTATATGGATGTATATGGTATATATATAAATATATTATATATATATATACATACATAGTAAGAAGAAACTATTAGGGGCTCCTGGCATCGCTACTAGGAGCAAGGACGCTTCTAGGGGCTCCTGGCCGTACTACTAGGAGCAAGTAGCTCCTAGTAACAAGAAGCTATTGGATTGGGGCGTACTATAATATACATATTGTAGTTGATCATATTGCACCTGGATCTTCCAAACGGCACACATAATTGCGCTTTCAGGAAAACTGCCGTGACCCGGCATCTTTTCCCAAAGACGGCGTTTTTTGTTGTGACCAGGCAGAAATCCGCAGAAAGCAACAAGAAACGGCGCTTTTAGGCATCCAAACAGCGTCTTTCCCCGTCCATGGATTTTGAGGATTTATTCATTATGGCGTCTTTTCACTGAAAAATGTCTCCGGCAAAAAGTTGTGCCGTGTGAAGTGTGAAGATCCAGGGAGAAAAGCAGATCCATGAATTCTTGGTTCATTCTAACCCTTTACCATCTTTGACGCTTTGATGACTGCTCCCTCCCATCTTCGAGGTGGGGCTCCTTTGGCTGGTGGTTGCAAATCTTCCTTGGCGCCGTGTGTCCGGGACTCCTGTACTCTCCGTTCCAGCTGGAGAGGTCGTTGAAAGCCGGACCGGGCATCCGACATGAACCGGAAAAGGACAGACAGATACTGTAGGGTAGGTTCGTTGGCTCGATGCACGGGAAAAGACATGGTCCATCGGTTGAAAGGATGGATTGGTCCAGACCCTTTTGGTTGGTCCATGTGGGTCCATACGCCGGTCCTGTGCGGGATTTAGAGTCTCCTTTCCTTGGTGTATCGTTTGGACCCCATGTGTCCGGCGGGCAGCCCCATGTGTCCTGGCGGAGTCATTGCTACCGGTGATGCAACAAAGTCTTCTTTGTGGTAGACGGACATCTGGATCCTGTGTTACCAACACCTGCAGCCGGTCACGGACGAGAAGAATGCTGCGCGGGTGAGGCATGGCGTCCTTGATCGGCAAGAGGCACTGGATGAGTTCTTCCGCGCCTGGGAGCGAGGAAGGTTGGTGAACAATAGGGGAACACCTATTGCATGTACTCCAGTTATGTTGGTCTTAGAGTAGGTTGGAGGCCATCGCTACAATCGTGGAAGGGGATATTCCCCTGTTTGGTATTCGAAAAATGGTCTTTCCAGGGGTCTTTTTTCCGGTCATGCCATTCACGGTTTGCCATGATTCTTTCGGAGTTTCAACTCGTCCGGGCCCGAGGGAGTGACGAGTTGATGGGCAAATCTTTGAAGGTAAACGATTGGTTTTTGAGCAGCATAAAGTTATTTCCAGGTGCCCGTGACAACTCCACGGTGTTCAGAACTTGGAATACCTTTTCTCTTACCCAAATGTGGCCCAACAGGACTTGCCCTATGCATTCATCCAACAGCCCTCAGTAGCACTTTTATACCCTGGCCCGGTGCTGCCCTGAGTAGCTTCTGATTTATGGGCTGAAATCCAGGTCAGCCAGTCCATGCTCTTTGAAGCAAGTTGGTCAAACCTTTGAAGGTTTGGTGCTCATGGTTTGGTGCTCATGTTCTCTCCTGTTTGCTTCGGGTGTGCTGGATGCTTCCTGCAGGTTTACGGATAAAGTGAGACGAGCTTGGAAGGCGCCGCCTGCGTTTGTTGGGTCAAGTAGAGCAGTTGCTTTTCTTTTTTGCGGTAGGTTTGATATACCGTTTCAGCACAGGAACACCAAGAGATTCATGACCCCCAATAGAACCAAAACTATTTTGACTGGTCCAAGACTCTGTGTTTCTCCGCTGGCCGCCCTCGGCTTGGATGTCCTCCCGATGTGCGGCACAGGTCTGGTTCTTTGACACGGCCAAGCAGGGCACACAGGCGAACTCAGAGCCGGTAGGGGTGAGGATGGTGGATTTGGAGGTCGTTTGGGGTGAAGGAAGTACTCGTTTTTGGTCAACACGATCCATGTTACGACAGAATAACGCAGAACATGTGACGACTGGCCGACTGGCATGTGACTTTCGTGTTTTTTGCCCTGTTCTTGGCCGTTGATTTCCTTGACATCCCGCACCCTTTCAATGGGTACTTCAGCCTTATTCACTTTTCACTTGCCTTCTCTGACAAGTCCTAAAAAACAATCATGTGTACTGTATGAATGTATATTATGTGACATACATTTGAGGGTTGGTTTGACTCATGCGGTTACTTCTTTTCTTGCTTTTCTTGTGGACTTTCCAAACATATTTTGTATACACGGATTCCGGGGGTATCGAAGGTGAACTTTCCTGGACTTCTGTCGACTTTCCTGAACTTTTCTGCTTTTTGTTTGTTTCTGGGATGTCACACTGGTTCATTTCTTTAATATCCCTGCTTTCAGACGTGGATATTCCGGGGCCTCCTTTTCAGGTGCTTTTGGAAGCAACTTTCAAGTGATTTGAAACAGTCAACCTTGAACTTTGTTTGGATTCAACATTCAGTGAAGAATGAATACACGCCAGCAAAGGGTTGGAATTTATTTGGTTGAAGACATGCAGTTATATAAATATATTGTGATCATTTGTGAATTGGGCTCGCGATTGTTGTTGGGCATTAGAACGGCCAAGAAGGCCGACTTTCCCAACAAATTTGTTTTCGAACACATCTGCCACATCCAAACAAGATCAAACTTTTGCGAGGCAAGCATCCGGCGTGGCATTGAGAAATGCCCAACCGCTCAGCTGGTTACGTCGCTCGGGTTTTTGAAACGAGACTGCCTGCAC